GCTTAGTGTTAAGCTTATAAAAGCAAGGTTATCGCACTTCTCAAAAGACACGTTGAACGATCAACACATGATTACATGATCATAAGATCAATAACATTAACAACAAAACTCTCTCACAATTTCTTTTATTTTATTTTTATTTTGTGTGAGAGCATAACACAAAATCTAGCATTTGTTAGATTATGTTCTTGAATTAAGCAAAACGGAGTTGATTGCAGTTGTATCCTGAAATTCAGAAAGTCACACAACCGTTACACTATGGGGCGTTTTTTTTTCAGAATTAAAGATAGAGATCGTATCTCGGCTCTACAAATTCGTTCTTATCTTAATTCATGTATCGATATTATTATTGTAATATCGATTTATTTATGTATTTCATTTTACAAATATCAATTTGCTCATATTGTAGTAATTGAGTTCATAAATATATCATGTAATATGTTGATAAAGCATGTTATATATTGAGGCATTACACGAAATAGAAATTCTTTATTTTCATGATCTATGTTAAGATATCACGTGAAAACAACAATCTTATGATATAAAAATAACATGTCTCATACAAAATAATTAAATACAGTTATTAATAAAACAGTGTTCACATCGTTTTTAATTATAATGATGATGGATCATGAAAGCTCATGAAACAGTGTTCACCACCACCTATACTTTTGTCTCAAGTCTCCCATCCGTAAACAAAAGGCCTTTTCGGCAAAATAAATGTCCATTCTCTCTTTTATCGGAAATTATGAAGCCCGTTATCGATTCCCTAATTGTTTTCAATGAAATTGGTATGCAGCTTACTGACTTTTATTTAATCAGTGTATGGACAATAAAGGGAAATAAAGAAAAACTGTAGATGAGACAAACAATGACCAACAAACAAAGAAAGAATAGAAAGGGGCACACAAGGTTTGTGGTGAGAGAAGAGGAAGGAATAGTTACGTAGGGAATATGTAATGGTGGTTCGGAAAAGGTCCACCGACAAATAATCAAATTCACATGGTTTCCAAAAAGGTCTGGCTCCACTTTGAATCATGAAAGAAATGTCTTTTTCCATACAAATTTAAAAATCAAATCCCAAATGTGAAAAAGGATATCAAAATTAATATGGAGAGTTAGAGACAAATATACAATGAGAAGTAAAAGAAAAATTCATGCATATTTGTGGACGTATACAATATTTATGTGTATCCGTGGTATATATAAGTAACTAAAAATACTGTAAGTAAATATCAAAACATAGGAAAAAAACAAAAAACAAAAAAGGTACCGAGAGAGAGACGAGGGCAAGAGCACCCTCCACAACTCCTCATTCCCCAAAATACCTCTAACAATGTGCTATATCTCCACATTTCTCAATTTAAAATCCCCTTCAAAAATCCTAAAAGCTATTATTGTAGCCAGATAAATCCAAAAACCATTGACGACTAAAAAAATTCCAAAAATCATTGACCCATTGGGAATCTTTCTTCAACTTTAGAGTTAACGGATGTAAGAAAGTGGAAATTGGCCTCCGATCCATGGCCTATTGGCCAGAAAACAATCCCCCTTTTATATAACTAATAATTCTAATATTTATGTGTGAAAGAGCTTCGAGCCAGTTAAACAGAGCTCATCTTCTTCCCATTAAAAATTGGCGAAATGAAAGTCCATAAAACATTCGAGGAACATCCCCCGAATTCACCGGGAATCGTGAAGGACATAGTTGAAGCCAAGTTCAACTTCATTGGCGGGAAGATTCCGGACTTGTTGTCCAAGTTTATTACACTATTGGGTAATGAGAAGGAGGAATGGGGTGGAGTGGCAGCCATGAAAGCGTGTATGAATGCGTTTTTTAGTTGGAAAAACGGAGATCCAAAGCAAAAGGATAAAGTTCCTATCGTTAAAGACTTGGAGGAATTTTTGTTTTCTACCAATTGTTATGTCCAGCTTGTTATCCAAGTATGCTTGATAGTCTGTTTTTGTTTTTGTTTGATCTCCCGTTTAGGATAAAGCATACTCTACTTTTTGGTACTTTTTCTATGCCTAATAGACATTTCAGGTTGAACAATTCATTAACAAAAGTGAAAAAGGCATCTGATTAAAAAAATTTAATTCTTAACCCCAACTATATTTCCTCAAAAGTCCATGGTTTTTTTATGAGGGAAATTCCATGTTATGGGTGACATTTGCAGGGGCACCCAGACCGTCCAAGCACGAGCATGGCCGTTATTCAAGGTGCTTTTGATCCGCCTGCCATTCCAAAAACTGTGAAGGTTCGTTATGTTACACCGAATGTCAAACAGTTAGGTTTTTTTATGCTTAACATTTTCTTGTTTGTTAAAAAAAAAAACACACTTTCTTGTTTGAAATATGACATGTGCATGTCAAAATCTATATATGAAGCATATTCTACTTTTCAGTACTTTGCCCCTGCATAATTGTGATTGCATGTTGAACCATCAATTAACAAAAGTGGAAAAGGCTTCACAAATAAGAACTTTACATGCATTCTTCATCCCAACTATTTGTTTGATTGGTAATAAACCTAATAAATTTACAACTACAATTTACAATCTTAAACGATACCAAAAAGATTTTAAAAAGTGTTATATACTCAACTTTATTTGTACTATTTTTTACCGTTATTTTTTATATCTTTGCATTATACTGTAACAGCTGTAAAACTTATGGGAGAGTCCATGTGGTCGTTAAAAAAATCCCAACTATATATATTTGTTCAAAAATCTGTGGTCGTTATTATATTTTTTTCTTTTCGCTAAAATGTGGTTGTTATTTATATGGGAGAGTCCATGTTTTGGTGTTGTGTGACAACTGTAGGGGCCAAACTGTCCAAGCACGATCAAGGCGACTACTCCAAAGGGCGTTTGTCCGCCTATGAATCCTAAAACATTGAAGGTCCGTTATGTCATTGATCCAATAGTTAGGTTTCTTATGCTCCCACTTTTTTGCTTGAAATATGAAATGTGCATGTCAAAATCTATGTGGGAAGCAGCTTCTACGTACTTCTGGTCTTGTGTGTCTATTGAATTGTGATTGCTGGTTATACAAATAACTAACTAAAAATACCTGAAAAAAGCTTGATCAATTTTAGATTCTTAATAATGGTATAAGCATATATTTGTTCAAAAGCTCGTGGACTTTTCTTAAGAATGGCAGGCCCATATTTTGGTGTAATGTGCGACATTTGCAGGGGACAGATCGTCCAAGCACTAGCATGGCGGTTAATCAAGATGTCGTTAATAACACTCATGTTCCGCCTGCGAGTCCGAAAACATTGAAGGTCCGTGTACTTTACACTAAAAGTCCAATAGTTAGGTTTCCGATGTTTTTTTGCATGTCAACACTTTAATAAGACTACATTACCATCAATTGGTGACCCAGTCAGATGGTGACAAACTTACAAAAGAAACATCAATGTTCCCACTTTTTGCGTGAAATATGAAATGTACAGGTAAAAATTTATATGGGAACTGGGTGGAACAATAAAGACTTTCGAAAGCTGAGTTCTCCTCCATCTCTCTATGTGAAGGTAATAAAATTCATTTCAAGACTTTTCTTTTGTTGATGATCCCAAACATAGCTGATTTTGGTTCATGGACTCATGAAACAGCTCAAAATAGATGGTGGCGAGAGCCACCAGACAAAAGTCCATACAAAAACTGTGACACCCTGTTGGGGAGAGGAGTTTGTGTTCCCCTTATCCCGTCCAAGAGATGTCAATCTTATTGTTGAAGTTTATGACCATAGATCAAAACAATTTGCTGGTAAGATTGGTCTATTGGTGTCTGAGCGAAAACAAGGAATACACACAATTCTTCTATCTAATCAAGATGGGAATCCATGCACCTCACGGCTGGTCGTGCGTCTCATGTTTGATTGAAAAGGGTCGGGCCTATATGTTTTATCTTTTAGTTTTATGGTTGTGTTTTTGGTGTAAAGTATATTGTAGCGTTGTTCCATTTCTAATCATATATGGAGGATACGTATTGTTCAAAAAAAGAAAACTATTGTTTTACTTGTCTTTTTTTTATATATAATTAGGGAGTGATCCGGGTTTTTACCATCCGACTAATTCCTGCAGGGTGAGTGTAGCCTCGTCGAATAGTCTATTCACCAGATTTTCTAATGGGCCTAAAGTGTATCACCACTTCGACTGGTCAAATGAGAAAAGTTAAAAAAAATTCACAATTGAAGAAAATTGAACTCTAACGTAGACCCACAGAACAACTTTTCCCCAAGTGGTAACCTCTACCCCACCAACCCTTGGTTTTGTTGTTGTACTCGTCGTAAAAGGAATATTAGTTAGACATTAATTTCTTTTTTTTTTTTAATAAACATTTTATTCATCTTTTCGATTTCCTTTTACATGGAGACCATTTGTAGCAAGGTAAAGGCCGAAAACCCAAATATAAGGCACGCCCAATCCGAACAAAGAGGGTCCTATAAAGAGGATATAAAGAAGAATAATTTGGGAACAATATCTCTAAAAAGATCTGCACGTAGGCAGTAGATTACTCAGAACCAACCTTAATGCAAACCACATAATATAGTATACCTTTAGCCAGTAGAGGATGGGAGTCAAGGGGAAAACTGAAAGTACTCGAACCAAAGAAAAAGGTAAGAGTGTTGAGAAGAGATACCTTGATCCACCACCTTTTCATGATCAAGTCCATAAAGTTTCTTTCTCAAGATGTACCTAATTTCTTTGATGATTATAGGAACCGGTCGAGAAGTTGAAGAGTGCAACCTTGTATTCCTCTCCTTCCACACCTCATACACTATGGCTTGAAGAAGGATTAAACATATTGTCTTGACTTGAGACAAGTTTGAACATCTCTTTGCCCAATTGAATATGTCATATAACCGTAGAGGAGGGAGTAGAGAATGATGAACAAACAAGCCCCTTATGATCTCTGTCGAGATCAAGCAGTTGAAGAAAAGGTGTTGCATGTTTTCCGGTGTATTACCACAAAGTAGACATTCCGAAGGAACCTGTAATTCCCAACTCAAAAGCTTGTCCCTTGTAGTTAACCTATCATGCATCACTAACCACAAGATGAAGGAATGTTTTGGGATATTACCAGAGAACCAAACAGATTTTCACCATCTCACTACACCAGTCTCAGGATGAAGAGCAGACCAAGTTGAAGCAGTTGAAAATTGACATGGATCTGTTGAATTTGGATATTTCCATAAGAATTCATCGCAAGTTTCTGATAACAGAGAATCGGCAGCCGGAAGGCAAGGTCTTAGCAATTGGGCAACAGGATGCCTGCTTCTAGGTAAAGACCAATTGCTTCCATGAATGACTTGGGAAACAGTAGCTAATTTAGGAATGCCGGTAACACGTGGACCATTTGCTCCTGTAAGATCAATTAGGGGGCCAAGGTTGGTCCAGTTTTCATGCCAGAAGAAGATCGAGTTTCCATCGCCAATCTTACAGCAGAGGAATGGCCTAGCTACATCTCTGCTTTTTAAGATTGATTTCCAAATCCAGCTCTCTGAAGAGGTTGATGGAATGTCCCAAAATACCCGACCCTTAATGAGGTTCGAAGAGATCCAAGAAACCCATAATGACCCGCTCTTCGTAAAAAGAAGCCATATGAGCTTCAAGGAGAAAACGCGGTTCCAAACAGAAAGTCTTTTTAATCCTAGTCCCCCGCAACTCTTAGGAGTGCAAACTTTATCCCAAGAGACATTTGCTCCTCTTGAGGAGCCAACAACCCCTTTCCATAAGAAAGCAGAGTATAACCTTTCTACCTCCTCCAAACATTTCTAAGGAAGGGGAAAGACTGCAATCTAGAAATTTACCAAGCTGTAGATTACTGATTGGATTAGTTGAAGCTGGCCTACATAAGAAAGATGACTGACTGATCATTTGGTGATTAATTTCACATTAATTTCACAAAGAACAAAAATGAAATTTTACGTTAAACTTTTATTTTATTACTTGAAATGC